CCTAAGGTGCTTGAGTCAGTTGGGACCCCAATCATGGCAGCGGCAGAAGTCCTGTATTCCTGACAAACACCAAGTCAGCCTAGGAGAACGCCCTCAGGTTGGTCTCAGATGCTGACCTTGTAGTACTCGATCATCTCCTCCGGCCACAGACATCATGAAGCTAAATGGATCGAATTACGAAAGAGTCTCTGCTCACCACTTTCAGCTCATACCAGGAGAAGAATATGACACTTTCCGGATCAAGAGAGTAGATGCAGCGGTCTACCTGAAGTAACGCCCAGATTTCTTTGACATGAACTTCCTGAACCCCAGCAAACCCCCAGCTGAAGAACAGGAATGGAAGCGGAACCACGCGTCCTCTGCAGACTTCCTGAGTGGTTGGACAACCAAAGATCTGGCTTCAAAATCCCCATATAATATAACCCACTATATGACCCCTTTGATGTACAAGTGTGGCGCTCAACCCAAAATGTAATTTGCGTTCAAAAGCAGATGGTTGTTGAAGAATTCATCAGGGTTTATTAGGATTTAGGTCTAAAACTCACAACAAACTACGTGGGCAGGTGATTGTGTACAGCTCACAGCTCCCTTTGTGTAGATCATGAGCATCGAACCTGCAGCTTGAACAGGGTCTGTTGCTGAAGTTCAGAGGATACATACATCGCTATATATAAAAAAGCAAATGCACACTGCCAAAGTTAAGGAAAGCGAAGGCTTAACTACCCACCCATGCTAAGTTCCTACTGAGTATAACAGTAACAGGTCGAGCTTCTTCATCTCGGGAGCGCCGCCGCCCTCGTTCTTAAAGTCAAGGTCATACTTCTTCTCCTCCGGCCTGCACAGCAAAACTTCCGATCCTGCTCACTTGGCAAAGGTGCAACTGGGGCTCTTGTAATGTTTCAGCGCGATGGGTGACTTTGGAGGGGGCAGCTGGGGAATCTACTGCTTGGCGGTATGCAAAGACCACCCCTGACTTGAAAACTGCCCTACCAATTGTATTGCTGCATATTTCTGAGAAGACCACGGGTTCTTGCTGGCTGCCGTAACGTTGTGTGAGATACTGCATATGGCGAACCCTGAAAGGAAGCGATATGCTGCTGGTTTGGCGATAGGGCTGGGCTCAAGACCTTTCTTACGGTGCGGATAGGTTGAGGGATCCAAGTACTATAGACTGAGCGGTCCAGATTTCCTTCTATGGGATTAACCAGGGTAGTATGCGGCTACAGGATGAGTTACGCAGGGTCCCTCACAGAAGCGTGTCTGTCGTTCGGAGCGTTAGGTGGCTCTTGGTCCAGGGGCTGTGGAATGAGGTTGCACGCATTGGAGATGTTCAAGTGGGCCTGACGTGCTGTCACCCTTAGAATAAACTCGCCTACCCAGGGGGCGCTCAGGAGACTGAGCGGGATCAGGCTAGATAGGGCCCTCATGCACCTTTATCCCATCTCGTCGCCACTGGAAACAAACATGAGACCCTTATCAGGCAGCTGAGCCCTACTGGGCGCTTGACTACAGCTTAGAAGCTTCCAGAAGCTTAAGAGCCCACACCACCAATCGGCTTTAAATCCTGAACCCTACGTTCCTTACCTGAGATGTGCATGGACACGGCCCTCTGCAGCCTCCAAAACTCCGAGGCAGCCACGTCAGTTCCGATCTTCACCTCAAAGAGATTCAAGGGCCGAGGGTGGAGGCTTTAGTTCTTCTTTCGCTTTGCGTAAGGGAATCCAAGCTTTATTAAGCTGTGAGCAAGCTGCTGGCTTGTGCGGTGCTCAAAAATTTACGCAGCTAGGCAGACCCTGCATCATCCAGGAAACGTCTTGTCGAGCCGACTCTTCCATCGGATGTACGGGTTAAGCTGGGAAAGAAGGGATAAGTACAGACCAACATCTGGTATGGCAGTCGACAAATAAGCCACATCGGACCAGAACTAATCGTAGGCCAGAGTAACCGCTGGCGCAACGTAACTCTTATCTTCTTCGCTCGAAGCCCCTAGAAAGGCAATGGCCAGCATGCGCATGTCATGAAAGCAAAACCCAACCTTCCCCGCGTGGCCGGACTTCTCGATTGCCTTCCAAGAGGATTCATAGTTTGGGGTAAAGATCTTAGCACAGGGTGGAGATGTACTCTGAACGTCCCGATCTAAGACACTACTGACGCTTTAGCATGCTTGTGAGAGGTTTGGTCGAAACATCGCAATCCGAGGTTGGAAGAGCCCTTACACAAATTATGGGCTCTGAGTGGCCGAGCCCCATGTGAGCGACGCCACTTCCATCAAAAAACAGCATATCCAACACACCAGAGCCTTTGCGGATCCAAGACTATGCTATGCCAACAAAAGGCCACACACTGATTGGAAGCAGAAGCTTCCACCCCGATTTGTGGAAGCATCGTACAGAAGGCTTGGGCAAGTTGCATGTGGAGTTCGGCGACCCTGAACTTCCCAGTAGCTGTGTCGTTTCTGGACTTTGGGAATAGGCCCCAGCTCAGGCTCGCTCAAGTGCACAGGCAAGCGAGCTTAAAATAGTAAATTTATCTACCCTGCAGGCCTCAACGACGGTAGGGGAGCAAGGGCTTACAGAAATATGCACGGCAGACTATCACAGCTGTAACATTGCCCGCACTTTGAGACCGATTTGGCCAAGCCATCTAACAGAAGATTTACATATGGCACGACTTGAAAGGGATAAGACAGTGAGGTACCGGCATGATCGGTGAGAACCATGAAATCTTGAATAGCCTCCATGAGGACGTTGAGGGCTTCGTTGTTGTCTTGCACGTTGGGCGCGAAGCCCTGAAGCTCCGGGCTGTGCTTTGGCATCACGATCTACGAGAACAGCATCAGGGATTTGGGCATTCTACATGTTGACTAGTGACTATCATGGGCTTGTGGCTTCGAGACCAAGCTCCAGAGAGCATAAGGATAACGCTAACATCCTGAGCAACGGCGTGCAGTTTGTCTTGGAAAAAAGAACCATGGACACTGCACCAGCAAAGACTCCCAGCGAGCGGGGGTTGCTGAGGTCTTGGCTCCCTCATCGCCAACGTTGCAAGCATCCTGGAGGGCTTACGTCGATTACGTGGGGCCACTCCAAAAGGAGGCCATAGCTTGAGGCTAGCGGCGAGGGGTTCAAAGGTTGACTGCTTGGTTGATCTTGCGCTGTACCCTGCTCAAAAGGGAAAGTCTACCCACCCTGACCATACCTCTGCTTCAGCCTAGTTCGGGAGGTCAGAGACTGTCACTCTGAAGCTTGACCATATTTGACACGAACTCTGCTTTCAGAGCAAGTGCAAGCAGGCGAGGAAGGTTTAGAAGAAAATCACTAACTAGTCCTATGAAGTCCATCCTTGTCCAAGTCCACAGCTTGCTGGGTGGAGAAAGCAGTGCACCGACATACCCTGTGCCTCAACCCAAAGAACCCATTGTCTCCTGCCCGTACTTCTTCTTGATCACGCTCTTCAAGGTGTGATAGACCTCGGCGCCTATCTCCATGGCATTCTTGAAGGAGCTTGCACCTGACGCAGGGGAGCCCTCCAAGGGGTCTCTGTGGAGGCTCTGGAGGAATGTTGTTTCATCTATGATGTGGAGGTTTCCCCAAAATTAGGGATAGTCTTTTGGGGCAGATGCCTAAGTACTCAAGTGGCCTGCATCGTTACCTATGTAGGGATGATGGTAGTGATCACTAAGGCTCCTGAAATCCAGACAGGAAAGATGCAAGGGTTTGATGCAATTGGCTTCAGTCGGCTAAATCCTCCACCTGAAAAGTAAGGATAGCAAAGTCCCTTCACTCCTCCATTTTGCTTCGGAGCCGCTACCTCCAGTGTTTCTTGTTTTAGGCTTTGGATATAAGCAATGATCCAAAACAAACTGAAAAAGAGGAAGAGACCGTTGACCCCAAATGGGTGGATGTCGAAATTATGGTTTGCTTTTGGGTCCCTATTATAATACGGCACCTAATATTTAGGGTACCCAAAAAGGGACCATAATTTTGACAACCACCCAAATGCCCAACCCTTCCGTGTCCTGTGGGAAGGATCATGAACTCCTGGCAGGCCAATCTGTTGCCAGCATGGCTTCCACCGTTGATGACGTTGAAGGATGGCACCTTCAGTGCTCGGGGTGCCTTGTAACACTTCGAAGCCATCAAATACCCTAAAAGCTCAACGGGATACGAAATGAGAAGTCTGAAAGTGTTGAATCCAGCTACATACCAGCCGTGCTTCCGCTCCAAGACTTGCAAACCTGAACAAATTACTAGAGGAAAGTCACGAGCAGCAGCATCAGCTGAAGGAATTCTCATGCTGCCGGAAAGCAGGCATCACAAAGCGGTCTGTAGGCTTGCCAGCCAACATAGCAATGTACCTTCGGCCGGGTGACAAGCATGGCTAGGATTCTGATTCAAGAGCCTTTCTCGACTTGTCTTCCAGCATGCTACTAGAACAGGCATGGAAGTTGTTGCAGGCTGGGTGTTCCTTGAAGGGGAGCCGCTTCCGGCCGGGCCACCTGTAAGGCACTAATGGCAGGTGGGCCCATTGTGCCCAGGCCCTTGTCTGGGCTCCGTGCTGGTACAGTGGCACCTGCGAAGCGGCCGCGCCCGCTCTACAAACCGCCATGGAGACCTCGGCTTTGTGTGGAGAATAAGAATATGAAACTATGATGCTATTTCTTGTCATCCTAATACCAATAGTATGTAGGAACAATAGCTTAATGTGAGAAAGTATGGTCTGATATGAGAACTGACGGTGGGTTTGAGGTCTCGGGCCTAGGGACTGCTGCGGAGTACAAGCCGCTGAGGCCGCATCACCAGTTGGAGTTTGTTTTGTATATCAGGGGAAGCTGAGGATTGAATCCTTCAGGGAAGACTTACTGAACAGGGCAGCTTTCAGGCTTCAAGTAGCATATGCTGCTTTGGCCGAACTCTCTGGGGAGCGATCACTATTCCTGAAAAGTGCCTCTGCCAGTGGCTCCGAAAAGTCCTGCGGCACATAGAGTGCCGTCTTCTTTCTCAGTATTCATCAGCCTTCCAGTTTATGCTGACTGAGGCGGCGACTGCCAAGATGGCGTTGGCACCCAGCTTCGACTTGGACCTGGTTTTGACAATGATTAGACAGCTTTGCAATGTCTGATACAACTGCGGAGGGATCTCTAGATGTGCATTGTTATGGGACGTTAGACAGACGTCCGGGAAATGCGATGGTTGCTACCAGGCTTAGAGCTCAGGATCTCCTGTAACCCCGAACTAACAGAAAGAAAAGTTACATGTTAGGCTCTCAAAGCTGTACCATGGAGGCTGTGAAGGAACTTGCGCTAAATTATCATACTTTAGGCATAGACATCTTCTGAATCACAGGGTTTCCAAAAGGGGTAGTAGAAGTAAAGCTTCTTAACAGAAAGCCCCCCCACCCCATATATCTCTGTAGTGCCCCTATATTACTCCCGTGTTGCTCCATGAAACAGACCCAGGATTTCGAGAAAGCTCATCTTGGACAAGCCATGAAAGGCAGGGTCCCGGCCAGCCCCACTCGTTTTTGGAGCCATCGAGCTCCTCCACCATCAGCTTGTCGATTGCTGCCTGACCCAGTTTGGGGCTTTAGGTTTAGGGCTTGAGGCTCCAGTTGTCTGTAGGGTTTAGGGCTTGGCTTGAGGGTTGGGTCGGGGGAGTGCCAGGGCAGCTGTATTGGAGAATCTTCCATGTCTAGAGCAGTGGATCTACGGGTGGATACAAGGCAAAGGATCAAGGAGCATTAACAAGTTTTTTGCACAATCACAAGTTGATGAGGGAGAAATGCGGCACTCTCTGGGCACTCATCTTATTTTAGGGACCTTCTTTAGCATGTTTCGGCGGCCGCTCAAAGTTTTTAAGAGTTTCAGGCCACAGTACATGCTTCCACGAGTGCATCAGGCATCAGGAGTTTGCGAAGAAAATTTTGGGTCTCCTTGGGAAAATACAGTAGTGTCATCCGCGCTGAAAAACAAGGTCTGGCTTGAACGTTGCAATTCTGCGCCCTTGTCAGGAACAAACCCTCCTACCCTGCCTAAAACTCACAAGAGGAAGCGCTCAGCGACTCTGATTTCATTGCAGGACCTGAAACTTGCAGCATCTCCAATTGCAAGCACTCCACCGCAAAGTTATGTTAAATCACAAATAGGCAGCCTTCTTCAACAAAGTTGGGGTTGCAACTTCTACTTTACCCTTGCATTTGCTGCAATGGAACATGACCTTATATGGCATTGACAAAAAGAATGGGCACCCTCAGGGACCCTGGGTGCATAGGAAGGATTATAATGACGGGAAGCACTTTCATCCCACATGTGTTTTGGGAAGACCCTAGAAAACCTTAAACCCTAAGCCCTAAACCCTAAACCCGAAGCTTCCAAGCAGAGCCCCGCCTGATCTGTAACTTTCATGCCGATGAGCTTTGGGGCGATCATGTCATTGATGTTCGCCACTGCCCTCAGAACGCCTGCACATTGCGCGTCAGCAGCTAGTTATACGATACCTCAAGAATCGCGCAACACATCTCTACATGTATGATATACTTGGCAATGGCTGAGCCACGTGCAACTTAGAACAGTGGTCATGCTTCTTCGAGGTCAGCTAGACTCAGCAGTCCATCGCTCCCATCAATGGTGCGACAGTGAAAGGCAGGCATGCGGTCGTCAGCGTGGCCTTCTAAGCGGCTTCTGAGCATAATCGCACCTACTGATAATCTACTGATAATGCCACGTCTTCCGGTGGCCCATTTTGCCATACCCTTCCCCTACAATCGACATGTGGCTGCTATTAAGCATGGCGATTAACACAATGACTTGGAGTGATCCTGATGGGATCTTGGGGCGCGGGGAGATCCAGGATGGCAATCCTGGCCCTCACCCAAACCACCTAATCAAATCCTTCTATTCAGAGTGATCGGAGTGCTTTAGTGCAAACGTCATAAAAATGTGTGGTGTATCTCCCAAACCCTTAAAGTCCCTAAACCCCAAACCCCGAATGGGACTGCTCGATTGCACCTTTGCCAAGGAGTCGGGTCTTGTCCCCATCTCGAAGCTCCAAGGCCTCTATGGCTCTATATGGTCCCTTTTTTGGGTATCTTACATATTAGGTGCTAATAGAGATCCAAAAAAGGGACCATGATTTTGGCAGGATCAGAGCTGCAAGAGTATTAGAGGGCTTCTTGAAAAGGGCTACGTAACGACCGTAGGAGTACAAGAGGATTCTGAAGGGATTATAAGGATCCGCAATGATACAGAGGGACAGTAGTTGACGCGTGTACTGAGTGCCCAGTCACTCTGAGTTGGTGTGGAGGTTGGTTTCGTCAGTCCCAATGTTACTGCTTTTGTGCTTAATTGAATCCCAGACAATTTCAAGTTTGAAGAAAAAAAGTTTGAGCCGGCGCAAAGATCGCATGCTCGCCCACCGATTCCTGAGCTGCCGCCCGCTTCTACAAGCATTTCCTACTTTGGGAGTCGGGGAGGAACACGTCTCAGTAAGGACTTGCTTGGAGTTGCCAGGCATGGGGCCAAGCCTCCGAGTTTCAATTTTAGGGGCCTGCCAGCCGGTAAAGGCGCTTAGGGATGTCTGTAGGATTTAAAGGCCCATCAACGAGCCCTACTGCTTGAGAGCGGGTCTCTTGGTGAGCATGATTCCCCCACCTTCAGATGATGGATCTTTGGTACCTACAAAGCACAAGTGGGATTTCCTTTGATTGGCGCTCATGACATTTCCTGGCACTAGCTTCTGAGTACTGTCGTTGGTCATGGCGACGACAGGAAGCGTGTATGTCATGGTGAAGAATAAGTGCATGTCTGGAAAACAATCCTGCTGCAGCTGTCTGCTCCAACTAGGCAGCGCGAACGGCACCTTCTCATGCCTTTGCCGTATTCGTTGAAGCATTTTGTAGCACTTTGTGTGATCATCACGGCAAGAAAAGCGTGGCAATCACCCCTGATATGATGGCTTTGCTTTCATGCCACCGTCCCTCAACTTCCCAAGCCAGGATTGCACCGGGAAGTCGTCTCCCTCGTGTTTCACTGAATCATATTCAGAAGAATCCCAACCAGCATCTTGCAAGGACTGTAAAAGCCTACAAGGCAACCCAGAGTTGGATCTTCAGGACCTAGATAAGTTCTACATGAACGGGGCTGGGCCTCGTAGATGCCGGTGGAGGCACCGCTGGGAACCTTTGTTGCGATCTTAGGGCTGGAAAACACTAGTCAGTAGTCACCACATGAGCAGTGCCCAAAACCCTAATCCTATTTTATTTCAGAAACAAAAAATGCTTACGGTAGCT